GTAAGTATTTTTTTTCATTTTGCATGACGTCTTTAGTAGGTTTGGCTAGTTGTACTTCCGCTTTCAAATTTTAGAGCACCTCCTTATTTATGCATTCTGATCTTTCATCTTCAGTTCATATTTTTGAATTCTGCAGTAACATATTTTTTGAGAAGATTCTTGTTTAATCAAATGAATTAAAACATGGTGAACATCTTTTATAAATAAATGGTAATGATTAACGATTAACCAAACTACTAATAATAATAATAAATAATAATTACTTTCAATTAATTAATCTTTATAAAAGGTAATAGTTGAGATAAAAAAGTCAGTGTCATGAGTGGGATTCGAACCCATGACCTTCGGCTCATACGCCGCTGCTCTACCACTTGAGCTATCGTGACTTCGATCCACTCGGACACCAACTCCCCACCTCAACCTACATCCTTTCGAAATTCAAACCAAAACCTTACATAAAAACATTAATTAATTGAAAGAAGTAATTTGGTCATAGACTAAATATAATGGATTTAATAAATAATAATAAACACAGAAAACAAACAGTGTGAGTGAGTACAAATAATTTGATTGAATTTAAAATTCTAGCATTGTATAAATTCAATTTTTTTTCACATCTTACACGTATTTGTATAATTTAAACAATGTTTATAAATCCCAGGCCCTGAAGATGATCTCAATAAAGATCGAAACGTTGGCACAATAAAGAAAACGTTTTTCTAAAATCTACTTCTCCCCAGACCGCATCTCACGATCTCCAAATTATCAATAATAATAAAGAAGTAAATTTATTGAACTTTATACATTTTTAATTTAAATTTACAAAAGGCAATGGACATGGTCCGTCTGCCAAGTTTGGTAGCTTTTTTTAAATCAAATAATTGTATGTATAAAGTAAATAAAAACAGAAGAAAAGGATAGATATTATAATGATATATACTATGTACAATCAGTACTTCTACTTCATTTTCCAATTTCAACATATACAATAAATTATTTAATGGAAATAAATAAATTAACAATAATAATTTATCTTTATGTTTTAATTTTCTTAGCAATTCTCTAAAAACAAATAAATAATCAAATAGGAGTGTTATCAAATAAATAATATGTAAAAAGTGGATTTACATTTTTTCAATCTACTAACAACATACGAATAATAACCTAGTAACAATGACATGAACATGAAATATAATAAAAGCAATAACAAATTATATCATTAGATATAAGTCCATTATATTTCGTGGTCCGATTGACCAAGTGACTTCTTTCAATTAATTAATCTTTATGTAAGGTATTGGTTAAGATGAAAAAATTAGTGTCACGAGCGGGATTCGAACCCACGACCTTCGGCTCAATACGCCGCTGCTCTGACTACGATCCACTCTGACACCAAGTCGCGATAGCTCAAGTGGTTAGAGCAGCGGTGTATTGAGGCGAAGGTCGTGGGTTCGAATCCCGCTCGTGACACTAACTTTTTCGTTTCTAACAAAATCTTACATAAAAATATTATACTTCGTTTTACTTATTAAATCCAGTATATTTGCGTCGCCATTTCATTTATCACCGAGAATCGAATCTTGATGACGCGAATTTGAAAAATGGCAAAAAGGAGGGAAAATTCGAAAGATTGTAATCGAATTGGTTGAGATGGCGAGTTGGTATCGAGTAAATCGAAGTCAGGATAGCTCAAGTGGTAGAGCAGCGGCGTATTGAGCAGGTCGTGGGTTCGAATCCCGGTCGTGACACTAACGACACTAACTTTTTCGTTTCTAACAAAATCTTACATAAAAATATTATACTTCGTTTTACTTATTAAATCCATTATATTTGCGTCGCCATTTCGTTTATCGCCGAGAATCGAATCTTGATTACACGAATTTGAAAAATGGCCAAAAGGAAGGAAAATTCGAAAGGTTGTAGGTTGAGATGGCGAGTTGGTGTCCGAGTAGATCGAAGTCACGATAGCTCAAGTGGTAGAGCAGCGGCGTATTGAGCAGGTCGTGGGTTCGAATCCCGCTCCTGATACTTACTTTTTCATTTCAACTAATACCTTACATAAAGATTAATTAATTGAAATTCAATATAAGATATTATGGGTGAGGGAAATTGTTCTTCTTGTTAGTTATATATAGTTAAATTCTGCTACGGGAAATTTCCTGCATTTTAACGCATTCACCAGATATTTAAACAGTCGGTTCCATTCCTTATCATTTTAAATGTTACTAGCACTTTCAAACTCCTCCAACTCTACATTTAGCTACGAAGTGCTAATGGTCTTCCGGCTAACCCAAATTACACATAGAATTTTATTTCTGTGAGTTTGCCATTCTGGAGCTCTCCTCTCATTCGGAAAATTTTTCTGATAAAGAATAAACAATTTTATTGTCATATATGTATGAGCTTTGCCCTTACGTCTGATTAAGTTGTTTATATAATCCATGTGATATTGCTTGTGCTTTTATTAGTTGTTCCTGTTCGTAAGACGTCTTAACATAAAACGTTTTATTTTCTTGAGTAGATTCCGTACTCGCCAGAATTTGCGTCAGGGACTCTCCAAATTTCCTTTCCAGTTCTTTCCATTGTCGGTACCAATATATTTTTTTAACACACGTATTCGAGGTGGTCCTAATGAAAACTGAAATATCGGTGCTCGTCCTTTTCCCAAAAGCCGAAAAATATAATTCGGTGTATTAGATGGTACAGCAAATAACTTAAAAAAAGCAAAGTTGTACTTTTTCTAATTCTTTATGGGACTTAAAACCCCGCACCTGCGCTCCGTAACAGAGTATTTTACTACATCAAAATACTGTTAATAAATAGGTTTGTCAAACCATTCCTTCTGTTTTTTGTGAAATTTAGACCATGATTCATTTTTATTCGGTTTTACGACACCCCTTTCAACAACTTGACAACTGCTGTAAAACGTTTTGATCAAGAGATAACACGACCGACCGGAGTGCAGGTTTATTGCAAACGACCGAGTGAAATTTTAAACTTTCGGAGCAATGACCACCAGTCAGTCGATTGAATCGTTAGAAACGTGAATGTGGTAAATTGCGGTGTTAATTAACGATTAGAAAATCGGCTCGGTTCCCATTTCATTGCTTCATTTCACGTCGGACCGGTGTGAGACCCGTTTCTCAAAAAGCGAGAGTGAAGGGGCCACCAGTTGTAATAAAAGTAGAAATTTATTGAAAACTAACAATTTCCGCTTCCTATTTGCTTTTTGGCTTGGCTGAAAGTGGCGGATCCAAAGGGGGTGTAAAGGGAGAATGCACCCCCCTACCTGGAGCCAAGTGAAGATGTTTTAAGCGAATAGGCTTATATTTCAGAATTATAAAACTTTGATCTGTTACCTTTCATAAACCTTCCCTAAATTAAGTCAGTTTCCTTTTAACTGGTCACGCTTTGGCTTTGTTTTCCCCCGGTTCGATACTTCGACCACTCGATTTGACATCAAGAAACTCGTAAGTTGATGTTTAAGTTTAGGTAGATTTCTTTCAAAAATCTAGCGCTTTCTAGTGGCCGCATTTTTGATCGCATTGCAATGAAATTTGGCAGGGAGGTAAAGAATCCTGTACGGACGGTTGGGATTGTTTTTCAGCCAAATCGACTCGTAGTCGCAGAGTTATAGGCGATGAAAGTCAAAAATTCATTGAAATTTTCGCAATTTTTGCCGTTCAAATTCACTCTCTCCTAGCTTCGCCCCTCATTATTGGATTTTCACATTTTTGGTACCAATTTTAGGCTGAATTCTTCCTGTAACTTTTAAGCTCGGTTTGGCTCAAATCCAAGCAGTATTTTCAATAAGATCATAATTTGAAAAAATCCCATTTTTAATCAGGATTTTTTTCTCAAATACGGTACTTTCGAACCTAATTTATTTAGTTTAAAAGATCAAATTAATTAATTTTTTTATTAAAACGAAACCGCAGGCTTTTCCTAATTTTTTGTTACAAATATGCCAAGATTTCTTTTACATTTAACAGAGAAATCACGGTACAAAGCAAAAGTCCTTAAAATTGTGTAAATTAAAAAAAAATGGCGTGGCCACCACATCTCTTTTTCCGTAAATCCCTCATTGTTACAAAAAATGTAATGGTGAAGTAACGCGAAAAATAATTAATTAACTAACTTAAATAAAATTTCAAATTAGGTAATTAACTAGTTAACCATTATTTTATTTACATTACTTTCAGTGGTCTAGGAAAAAATGGCCCGAATCTAATTTAATTTAACGCCAGCTATTAATAAGAAACAAAAACGATTGATTAATTATTTTCATATTGCAATATGTTTATGATGTTACGTTTTGCATAAAATAAATAATAATTAATACCCATGGTTTTCAAATTATTCTTTAATTTTTAAAGTAGCAAATTTTTAGCACTGCTGGATTTATTCCGCGAAAGAAAAAAAATCTACCTCTCACTCCTTTCTGCCGTGACGGTTTTTTTTTTTGTTCGTTTATGTTTTGGGCTAAAAAATTACATTGCAGACCATGATTTTTACGTGATTGGACATGTCCTTCTGGTGCTTTTCTGATTTCTGCTTCTAATCTTCTTATTCGATCTGTCGATGTGGTGATTAATTTTCTATGTTCGTTTATGTCGGTGATTAAAAACTTACATTGCAGGCTATGACTGAAAAACATTTTGGAAATATATGAAAAATATGTTCGTTTTTAAAATGAAAGTATTGAAACTTTTAAATCAAGTTATTTTTTTAGTTTTTCCCTTTGAAGGAGTTATAGGCGATGAAAGTCAAAAATTCAATCAAAATTTTTGCCATTTTTACGTTTTCTCAACAGCTCGGGTTGTTTAACTTCACTCCCTCGCTATTGGATTTTGGATTTTAAATTGGGTTCTTCGTGTAACTTTTACGTCCGGTTTGGCTCAAATCCAAGCAGTATTTTAAATATTGTCATAATTTGGAAAAATCCCATTTTTAATCGGGATTTTTTTCCCAAATACGGAACTTTCAAACCTAATTTCTCT